GGCCACTGCTGAGTTTTCCAAACTTGCTGGCATATTGAGTGTAACACCTTAACAGCATCATCTTTTAAGATTTTTCACTTATTAGTACACTGCTTATGTATAGTAATGTATCTACAACTTGGCAAATTTCTTTGGACTACAATTCCCAGCATCATCCCACCAGGACAACATACTGGCAAGAGTCCGGAAAGCTCTCATTGTATCTGCAAGAAAGAATTGTTTGTATACAATGTATCCATTTTAGGAGGAATGGAAACCTAGAAGATTTTACAATAAACACATGCATTTATGTCTGCTTACAGTGGTGCCTCACTTAACGACGATAATCCATTCCAGGAAAATCGCTGTTAAGCGAAAACATCGTAAAGCGGAATTAAAAACCCCATTGAAATGCACTGAAACCCTTTCAATGCGTTCCAATGGGGTAAAAACTCACAGTCCAGCAAAGATCCTCCATACGGCGGCCATTTTCACTGCCTGTATAGCGAGGAAGACATCCCTAAGCACAGCAGGGAGCCATTTTAAGCACCTGGTGGCCATTCTGAAAACCAGATGATCAGCTGTTTTTGATCGTCGTAAAGCAAAAATCAGTTCCTGAAGCAGGATTGTCGCCAAGCGAAATTCATCGCTAAGTGAAATTCCCCCATTTACGATTTTCGCTAAGTGAAATTCCCCCATTTAGACCATCATTTTGCGATCACAATTGTGATCGCAAAAAGATCGTCGTAAAGCGGATTCGTCGTAATGTGGGGCAATTGTTAAGCAAGGCACCAGTGTACTTGGAAAAAGAGTCATGTGAAAAAGAAAGTGCACCCTCTTTGAACTCTACTGTTTTACTTATTAGGACATAATAAAAATCATCTGGTCCTTAGAAGGTCTGAAAATTAGGTAAATACAACCTCAGATGAACAACAACACATGACAAATTACACCAGGGGTGGGCCATTAATTTCTATGGGGGGCACATGAAAAATCTGAACTGTGTTCGGAGCCCGAATCAACTTTACTTAGAAATAAAATGAAACAGTGATGTTTCGTTTTTGTTTTAAACTTGTTAAATTTCACAAATACTAAAGAGGTTTTTTGCAGTATGTTAAAGATAAACAAGTGATCAACTTTAGATAAAAAGCTATAAATGGTTTTGATGTCCGGCGGGTCAGACAGGAGCGGCTCGTGGGCCGTATGTGGCCCTTGGGCTGCACTTTGCCCCGGTCTGTATTACACCATGTCATGATTTATTTTGCAAAAAATAAAGCCAAAATGGAGAAGCCATGTGTGAAAAACTAAGCACACCCTTACTGCTTCCATAGGAATTAAGAGGCTAAATTGCAGTCAAGTGTTGCTACCCAAATGCCCTTGAGTAACTGATCATCAGCAAGCGTTACCACCTCTATAAAGGCTGAAGTTTTAGCAGTTTGCTGGTCTGGAGCATTTAGGTGTGTGTTAGCACAATGCTAAGGAGGAAACACATCAGGAATGATAGTAGAGAAGTAAGCATTGCTGCCCATTAATCTGGGAAGGGTTATAAGGCTATTTCCAAACAATTTAAAATCCATCAGATTATTCACGAGTGGAAAACATTCAAGACAGTTGCCAATGTTCTTAGAACTGGTTGTCCAAGCAAATTCACCCCAAGGTCAGACCATGCAATGCTCAGAGAAATTGCAAAAAAAAACCCAAGAGTTACAGTACATCTCAGATTCTACAGGCCTCATTTAGCATGTTAAAGTTCATGACAGTACAATTTAAAAAATGTCAAGTATAGGGTTTTTTTTTTTTGAAAAGTTGCATCTGGACAAACCACAAGACTTCTGGAACAATGTCCTTTGGACAGATGAGACCAAAGTGAAAGTATTTGGACATAATGCACAGCATCACATTTGGTGAAAACCAAACAGCATATCAGCACAAACACCTCATACCAACTGCTAGCACGATGGTGGAGGGGTGATGATTTGGGCTTGTTTTCCAGCCACAAGGCCTGGTCACCTTGCAATCATTGAGTTGACCATGAACTCCTCTGTATATCAAAGTATTCTAGACTTAAATGTGAGGCATCTGTTCGACAGCTAAAGCTTGGTGTAAATTGGGTTGTGCAACAGCAAATTTACAACAGATATTCTAGACTTAAATGTGAGGCATCTGTCCGACAGCTAAAGCTTGGTGTAAGTTGGGTTGTGCAACAGCAAATTTACAACAGAATGGCTGAAAAAGAAAAGAATCAAGGTGTTGCAATGGCCCTGTCAAAGTCCAGACCTCAACCCAATTGAAATGTTGTGGCAGGACTTTAACTGTACATAAACAAATGCCCATAAACCTCAATGACTTGAAGCAGCGTTGTAAACAAGAGTGGGCCAAAATTCCTCCACAACAATTTGTGTATGAAAGTCATACACAAAACAATTAGTTCAAGTTATTGTTGCTAAAGGTGATTCTACAAGCTATTGAATCATAAGGTGTACTTAGTTTTTCACACATGGCTTTTCCATATTGGCTTTCTTTTTGTTAAATAAATAATGACATAATCTTAAGTTGTATTTACCTAATTTTGAGACCTACTAAGGACCAGATGTTTATCATGTCCTGATATGCAAAACCATAGAATTCAAAGGTGTATTTTCTTTTTTCCACATAACTGTATGTCCCATTGATTTCCATAGATTTGGCTTCCAAGCATTTGTACAGATATACCACTAAGCAAAATTCAGAATCAAGGATGGGTAACACTTTTACTTGTCCACTAAAATATAAAACCAAGCAAACTTTCAAATCATGCAATACTTTTAGACTGCACATTGCCAATATCTGTGGGAGGGAGCATAAAAATCCAAATCTCACCTGGGAATATGTTAAGACTTTAGGATCCTAAGTTAAAGTGAAATCCCAGAACGGAAGCTGCACACTTGTATAAACAGCTTGAGATATCAGAATTCACCTTATGTGTGTAAAACAGTTACCCAAAGCTTGTTCAGAGCATCTCAAAAAACACAATTTAACATGAAACAATAAGACAGAACACCTTACACTTGCTTCAGTTGTACTCTGACATTCCGCTATATTGCCAGCAGTTCACAAAGGAGCTGTAAGAAACATTGACACATAACCTAACTACAGTATCTCCAAGTACCAAGACAAGCACCAACCTTGTTTAAAGACAACAATTATCCCGGGGATGCTAGGAGTGAATTTAAGGATCAGAGATATAGATCACAAAACTCTCTACATATATCATTCAGCCTCAAAGGTCACTTTATTGTAGCTGCAAATGCAACAGGAGGCAATGCCTTTATGGACCACTAAAAATGTAGCTACACTTATTGTGGATACATATCAATGGTCATAGAATTTACGCATCACCTTAACCACACAAGATATGTTTCATAACACCTGAACAGATACAATTGTGATTCTGTAATCTTATGTTATTCAGAGCAACTGTCAAAAGATCAGTTACTTTTAAATGTGTTTTAGTACTGATTTTAATTACCATTTTAATATTTGCAATCTTTTAAAATATTTGTATACTGTACTTACTGATTTTAGCATTTAAATATTGTCTTTTAATTATGTAAACCACCTTGGGTCCTTTTAAAGAGAAAAGTGGGTTAACAATATTTTAAATAAGTAATAACGTATGGGGGGGAGACCCCTTAAAACATAAACAACTGAAAATCTAACCAAATAAGCAGACAGAGAGTGTGGGCCCACACTGATGAACCTCAGGATTCTGCAACTGATCTTCTATTCTAGAAAGGAAACATACTATAGATAGCAAGATCCTTCTGAGGCAGAAGATTGAATGACTAAATGGATTTTAAAATTGAAGTCCTTGCTCCCCTGGTCTAAATGGAAAATCGGTGTTTTCTCCCCATCTCTCTCTAGGACTTGGGAGGTTTTAAGAAAAATATTTGCCTATGCAAAGTGTGTCCATATAAGAATCAATCTGATTGTTCTGCATCAGCTGCACAAATCTCTTGCAGACAGAATACAATTACTATCTATTCATTCCCCTTTTAAAGTCACCAGTGACTTGATGTGGAGACTCCCTCAGGATAAACTTCTGAAGATTGTTTCTTTCAATGTAAGTATGTACAGGCTCTTTAATGCTGCGCACAACTGAACGAGTATATATACCTTGCTATGTTTATACTCAGGGGTTGTCTTTCACACCCTTCTATAGCATCTTGAAGAAGAATATTAATAGGCCCCAAGACATTGGGTATTTAGAAGACTTTGATTTTCCCATATATCAGGACTTGCCTGTTTGGTTTGGAACCCCCTTCAGAGAAGTTGGATGTTTACATCCGATGGGCACTCTTGACAAAGAGAAAGTCAGCTGGAGCCAAATTAAGATTATTAACTAGTGGTCAGATGAAAATGGTGTCCTCAGTGTGCTACAGTCCTTCTTGAAATAATGGTAGATCTTGCTTCAGTTGTAAATCCCTCCCCTAAGTGGCCATCCAGGGTATTTTTCCTAGCCAGACAGAGAAGGGTAGTAGTAGTAGTAGCAATGTAGTTCTTTAATTTATATCTGACCGAACTATCTTGTTTTCTTTTCAGTCTGACCCTTAAAGGGAAGTGGCAGCGTTCCCCTGCAATGCCTCAGTTTCCAGGAAGGGAGAACCTAGCAAAAAAAAAAGCTTTGTAAAGCAAAGCAAAAAGAAAAGAAAAGCCGTGTGGTCCTTGAACAAACTCCCCGTTCTTATTATTATGATTGCCTCTACCCACCCTCGTTTTTCGAAGAAAGCTTCCCAGCAGCTGATGCTTCCCGACCGCCTCTTCCGCCCGTTCCACTCCCCCAAAAGAGCGATTCCCTTGCCTGCTTAGCCAGAAAGGCTCTCGGGCTTCCTATCAGATGGGTCGGGGGGGTGTAACCGGTGGCAGGTCACCGACAGGCAAGTGGCGGCTCGGATTGGTGCCGGAGCGCCTGTGGCCACGCCGATTGGCTGCTCTACCCGCCACGCCCCCCCGGCTCCCCGCCCCTTTCCGTCCTTTGCGGTGGCGAGGAGGGAGGCGAGCGCAGGAGGTGGCGTCTGACGGGAGGTCGGCAGCGGAAAGGCGGGGAAGGAGTTGCAGGAGCACCAGCCAGCATGGCAGCGGCTTTAATGCTCCGCGTCTCCGTCACTTGGCTGCACAGGCAAAGGAGAGTCTGGGCAGAGAGTGTGGCAGTGGGTAAGGAGCTTAGATAAGTTTTGCTGGGGGCGCGGATCGCCTTGCAGCTCCTGGCCGAGGGGCGCTGCGAGGAGGTCGGGCCTCCTGGGGGGGAAACAGGAGGGCAAATTTCTCTGCAGCTGTTTCTCACCTGAGCCCCTCCGCCTTTCCACCTCAGTAAAGCTGTGATCCAGACATGCGACCACCCCCGTGCCCAAACAAGTACCGCCATGAAGGACGATGGCTGTGTAGGCAGATAATCTGCATTTAAAGAAAAGGACAACTCTACCGTTTTTTGGTGGATTCGTCCATGAGAGTTGTAGGGTTGGGAGTGTGCTCGTTCGCAAGTGGGCATGGCCAGTATTGAGAGCAGCGGCTCCGAGAAGGAAAAGGTTATGACTTCTTGGGCTGTTTTGCACCCTTTACAAGTATTGTATGCGCTGTTAAAAACCACACAAGTTGTAAAAAATTATATTGGGAGTAATATCAAAACTTATGTCGGCTTGTGAGGAGGCTAGTGCAATAAATACTTTTAATGTGTTTACTTAAAATAGCTCATGTGGTGTTAAAACAGGCCACAAAAGTTTATGTGACGCTAGTGACTTCACATATCAGGTTAATGGTACCTATGATCTATACTCCTATTTACTGCTCCCATAACGCCAATGCCTTTTCTAGCAGAAAACTGGAATATGATTAATTGCTGTGTTCCTGTACATTTTTATGCGTGTAACGTGTTGCAGATGTGTGACTATGCTTACTGTGCCTTATACATTATCTGTTTGTGAAAAATTAAGCATAGACAGCAATTCGCATGACAGAAGTGTGCCCTGTAACATACTCCTGTACATGTGTACCAGGAAATAATTCCTGCTAAGCAAGGAGCCTCCTTTGTCCAACTACCCTGTTCTTGACTGTCTCACTATCAAAGATGGATATCACGGCTGTTTCTCTCTTCTGTGTATGTGTGAACGCTTGTGTGATTTTTTAATTTTTAATTTTTAATTTTTATTTTTTATTTTTTTGGTACGTGTGAATACTGACATGCCCACTCCTGGCACCCACTTGTTCTTCATCTTCTGTCCCTCCAACAACCATAGGCAACACCTGTCACTCCTTGCAGGATGCATAGCTACTCAAAAGTAAGCCCCACTGTGTTCAATGAGGCATATGCCTGGGTAACTTTATATAGACTTAGACTGTCACTTCTAACATACTTTTGTGACTAAAGAGCCCCACTTACAGTTGGGTTATTAATAACAGGAAGTACTGATATAGGATCAGATTCTACAAAAGTAGCAATTTATTTTCAGGCAGTTCTCATTCTGTTTATTTGGCTATTCCTTTTGGTGAACAGCTCTGTGCAGTCAGTTTTTGTAGCTTTTCAGCAAAAAGCTAGCCTTGTATGAACTTTCTCATGTTTTATGAGAAGGAAAAGTATTTTGATTGATTTTCACCTCTCAGATTGCTTAAGAACTTCACTCCTTTAAAAGGAGTGAAGTTATGCTGCATACAAATGCACTCAGTAAAATAAATCTGTTCTTAGAACTTTTGTAGAGTGATGAATAGCATAAACTGTGAGTGTAAAGACTTCGAATCAAATGTCACCTTTACATCCACCATGATTTTATGTGGTAGCTTTGGGTAAGGTATGGTCCTTCACTCCACCCTCCAAATCTGCAGTGGGGGGATAATAATACTAATTTTAAAGGGTTACCTGGAAAACATGCATGATATGCAAAACTGATGAACAGAGCTTATTGCTAATAGGTGTCAAGGGGTCTTGTAAAGTTAGGATGAAGTACAGTATATCTTATACTTTTCTATTTAATATATCACATGTCCATGGTCTTTATATAATATACAGCAGTTGTGCGTATCTTCAATGTGAAGTTGCGTGTATACATGTATTTCACTCATTCCTTGCATGCTAGTCAGGCATTTTGTTAATTTTAAAGCTTCAGTTCTAAACATCTTTGCTGGAGAGTAGGCCAAATGAACCTCATGCATTTTGCTTCTGTGTATAGGACTGCCCTGCATGCTATTCAGTTCTTGATTATCTTTGATATTATGGATGTAGACTTATCTTTGAAACTCAACTCCTGTCCCTATGTTTGCTATCCTTTTGTGTATGTAGCCCATTTTATGACCAAGTAAGAGGATTCTGTAAATAATATTAGAATCCTAGAAAGGTGAAGTTGGAAGGGGACTACAAGGCCATCAAGTCCAACCCCCTGCTCAATGCAGGAATATAACGAAAGCATATCTACCAGGTGATTATCTAAGTTTTTCTTTAATGCCTCCAGTGTTGGAGCATTCACCAACTCCCGAGGTAACTGGTTCCACTGCTATACTGCTCTAACAGTTAGGAGGTTTTTCCTGATACTCAACTGAAATATGACTTCCTTTAACTTGAGCCGATTGATGCATGCCCTGCGCTCTAATTGAGAATGGATCTTGCCCCACCTCTGTATGACAGCCTTTCAAATATTTGAAAAGTGCTATCATACTGTATCACCCCTCAGTCTTCTTTTCTCAAGGATAAACATGCCCAGTTCTTTCAGCCTTTCTTCATAAGGCTTGGTTTCCAGCCCCCTGATCATCCTTGTCGCTCGGCTCTAAACTTGTTCCGATTTGTTAGGATCCTTCTTGAAGTGTGGTGCCCAGAACTGGACACGATACTCAAGGTGAGGTCTAACCAGCACTGAATAGAGGGGATCTAGCACCTTGCAGGATCTGGAGACTATACTTCTATAGTATAGTTAAATAGCATTTGCCTTTTTAGTAGCCACATCACACTGCTGGCTCATATTCAGCCTGTGATCTAGGCTAATTCTCTGCATTTCCTTGCTACTTCTGTACTCATCCTTGGTAGCCTGGCCTTTTTCCCACTTCCTGTACATCTTTATTTTTGGTTTTTAATTTCCTCCCTAAGCATTTTGTGAAGCCACACTGGCCTTTTTTTCCACCTCCCCTTTTTTTCTTGTTGGAATTGTTTATTTATTTTATTTATTTATTTATTCAATTTTTACCCCGCCCCTCTAGACAACGTCTACTCGGGGCGGCTTTGTAGTTGTCCCTTTAGAATTTCCTTTTTTATAAGCTCCCATCCTTCTTGGGCTCCTTTTCTTGTTAGGATCTCCTGCCATGGGACCTTACTTATCCTTGTTCTGAGGTTATTAAAATTGGCTTTATTAAAATCCAGCAGATGTGTGTGGCTCTACTCTGCTTTCGTTTCCTTTGAAATCAATAATTCCAGAAGGACATGGTCACTGTCTCCTAGAGTTCCCCTTACTGCCACTTCCCCCACCAAGTCATCTCCGTTGGTCAGAATCAAGTCTAGGTTAGCAACTCCTTTAGTTTCTTTCTCCACTTTTTGTAGGAGAAAATTATTAGCCACACAAGCCAGGAATTTCTTGAAAGGGCCATAATTCGCAGAATTTGCCTCCCAATGTATATCTGGATAATTGAAATCTCCCATCACTACTACATCATGTCTCTTTGAAAACCCTGCAATTTGTTTTTCAAAAGTTTCATCTGTGTCCTCTCTTTGATTGGACGGGCAGTAGTAGACTCCAGCTACCAACTAGATTGATCCAGATGCTCTCTCTGTTCTTTTGATCAGTTTATATCCTGATCCATTGTCATCTCACCAAACGTGGAAGCAGCTCAGCTGGCTCTTCCCCACCTCCCTTCTTAGCCAACCAGTGCAGCGTGGAGGTGGGACGGGAAGTCTCTTCACTCAGCCAATGAGTGATTGGCTATGCAGGGAGGTGGGAAAGGGCTGGCCAGCCAGGTTGCTTTCGGAATTGGTGTGACGATCGAGCCAAGTGACGTGCAGAGCCTGGTAAGTGGCCCAGCTGGTTCTGGGAGGTGGGATTGGGCCAGTTACTGGTTTGTATTTGTTTCCCCATGGAATGGTAACTGATTGTTGGACTAGTGTGGTTGGTTAGCAGTTGCTGTCAGCTTAGCCAAACTTACCCATCTGTTAGATAAACAGGCAAATGTATATGCACTTATGCAGCCTGCTTTTTGTATACACAGAGTGCGGATTGAAACCATAGTCCTCATAAGTCATTAACCCCTTTTATTTTATTGGAGCCAGTTCTTTGCAAAATAATCAGTTCATTTGTTTCAAATTGAATGTCTTTTTGTTGGGTTATCAAGCACTCTGTTAATTTTTTCATGTGGAACACAGATTGAGTTAAGATTTATCTAAGTTAATACAGTATTTAGAACCTTTATTCCATATGCTCCAACTTAATATGGGAGAAACACCGAAGAACATTAGCAAGATCAAGAAGTCAAGTTTTGACAGTGTTAACGTAACTCTCTCCTGACAGATTTATTTTTTATTTTTAAAACTTTTTTAAAAGGTGCATTTACAATTAAATGCACAATCCTTTTTGTATCAAAAATAGCCAATATTTTGAATAAAGTAGCTTCCCTGAGGTTATGCAAAGCTTTGTATGAAATCTCTTTAAGTGTATGAATGATGACTTAAGTGTATGAATGATTACTATAGCAATAATCGATAATTATGTTTTCTGCCTAGGACAGGATTGTTTCTTAGCACCCCACCTTACTCCATTAATATGCTGGCAGAAAAGTCCAATAATATGCTGGCAGAAATATTCTATAGAGGCAGGATGCGACCGCAGGTAGAGTGTGATGAAAGAATCAAATTTAGGGTGGAATTTGGAGTGATAAGGGGGAAATGAAGACTGTTTGTTTGTTTGTTTGTTTAATTTATATCCCACCCATCTAGACCGAAGTCTGCTCTGGGCAGCTAACAATAATAGATAGAATAAAAATAATATAACAAAATAAAAAACAACAATAGTAATATGGTTCAAGTTGGGAAAAATATTCAAGTGATGACAGGAGGGGAAGCTTGCCTAAAGGGCCAGGTCTTAAGTTTGCTCTTAAAAAAACACCCATGCGTAAGAGGACTAGCAGTGAAGGCTTATTCCTGTCGCCATAGCTGGTCCTGACATTTTGCTGCCTTAGGCAAAGGACGA